TCATGATTTCCACGAAGAAGAAAAAAATTTTCAGGATATTTTATCTAGATAAAATTTTTTTTAATTTTCTATAGAAAACAAAATCTTTTCTTTTATTCTTATCCTACCTTATAAGCAAGTAATAAACAAATTGTTTCAAGTGATTGTTTTCCACGATCAACATAATCACCAAGAAATAAATAATTTGATTCAGGTGGAAATCCACCATATTCAAATAAACGTAATAAATCAGTATATTGACCATGAATATCACCTAATAAAAATTATTATTATTATTAGTACATGAAAAATAATGATAATAATAATTTAATTAATATATTTTCATACCACAAATTTTAAGTGGTGCTTCAAGTTCAAGTAAAATTGGTTGACTTAAAAATAATTCACGTGATTTTAAACATAAACCACGTACTTCACCTTCACTCATTTGAACAATTTTACCTGGACGACATCCACGTACTATAATAATTATTTTAAATTAAATTCTTTTTATTTTTATTTTTAATATTAGTTTACCTTCAAGTAAACGCGCTATAAGATTATCAACATTAAGCTCACTATCACCTGACATACTTATAGTTTTATATGTCTAAAACGAAAAAACAAAATACTATATTATACATACAAATGCATCCATATTTATTTCTTCTTATTCTCTTATTCGAGCTTTCTATTGGCGTCTATGGTAACGTTTGACATGGATAAAAATAATCGATTGGTAAAAGCGAAAGAAATAAAATGTCAATGAGAAGATGTCGTAGTAAAAAAAAAATAAATAAATATATTGATGAAAATAATCATAAGAAAGAAAAAAAAAAGATTTCATATGAATTCAAAATTTTTCTTCTGTTTTATAATGAGACAAAAATTTAACAATCGCCAATAGATTCATTTGTTTAAAAAAAGATATGAATCATCATATCATTATTTATTTATTAAGGTATTCATCCGTATAAGTTTTTTCTTTAATTTAAATATATAACAAAAAAAGAAAAAGAAAATGTCCGGACGTCAAGGTGGTAAATTAAAACCATTGTAAGTTTTTTTTTTTATTACACATAATTGAACATAAAAACAAACAAAATTCCTTTGTTTGTTTTCATAGAAAAAATTCAAAAAAAGAAACGAAAGAATTAGATGATGATGAAAAAGCATTTAAGGAAAAACAGCGTGAAGAACAAAAACGACTTGATGGTAAGTAAAAATATGCAGTCAGGAGTAAACATAACAATATTTTATAACATCGGCTATTTAGTTCATCTTCAGACAATATATAATGTATTGATAAAGAAATATAGAATTTTACAAGGATTAGTTTAATAATAAAATAAATTATTCAGATTCATTTTCAGTCAAAATATTGACATAAACTTTTGTATCATAAATCAATGATGCATAGATAAAAGAGTAAGACAAGTAAACTGTCTCATAGTAATACACATCGAATCGAAAACTAAGTCAATCAACTACTCATCATGAAGTCTATATTTAGTGAAAATATCAGATTGAACAGTTGATGTGTACTTATATAAATATTGTTTCGAACCAGTGTCACAATGATTTGTTTATATAATCATTTCTACTAACTGTTTTCTAAATATTTTGACAAAGAAGAAAAAATTAACATGAATTTTTGAACAATTATTATCACACAACTATATAATTTTCGATTATTTTTGCATTTCAAACTGATATTTTAATGAGAAAAAAAGTACAAATTGAATTGAATAATATGTATTTCGAAATTTTACATTGAACTTTTTCTTTTTTTATTGTTTAGTTATCTACATTTTTGTCTTCTAGTAATGTTTTGCAAGTTTAGAAAATTTTTCGAACAAAAAAAAACTCATCTTGGTTTTTTTTACTTCTTTGTCGAAATATTTAGAAAACAATTAGTAGAAATGATTATATAAACAAATAATTGTGATGTTGATTCGGAACAATATTCATCAACTGTTCGATTTGAGATGTCTTGCTATAAGACGGTTTGCTTGTCTTACACTCTTATCTATGAATCATTGATTTATGATACAAAAGTTTATGTCAATATTTTGACCGAAAATGAGTCTGGGTACTTTATTTTGTTATCAAACTAATCCTTCTAAAGTTCTCTATCAAACAAGTCATAACTGTAGGAAAACTGAAGAGGATCTAAATATGGCTTGTATGCAACTCTATCGTTCGCATCTATTTTTTGTATGAGATGTACAATCAATTTTGAGCCAAACCAAAAGAAATAATTTTTCAATATGTTGAACTTCTGTTGAATGTACGATCAATTTTAAACGGCTCTTGGCTCATAAAATTTTAAATAAATCAAACACAAACAAGTCGAATAATAGACATGTAAAAAATAACGAAGCAATTTCGACAGATAAAAATTGATAATAAGAAAAAAAATGTGAAAACCCATCCCTTAATAGCCGAACATTTTTTGTGTTTGTAATGATGAAGTCTGGAGATTAAAATAGATAAATATAGTTAAAAACGTTTACTTTTTATTTATCATGATAAAATTACAATATAAAGGTGCAGTGAAAATATTTGTATTTTTGCTCGGTGAGTTAGCGATATCATTTGTTGCAAAGTTCTAAGAGAGAACATAGCTACGAATAAAGTTTTTCAAACATTATCATATCATCTCTTTGAAATTGAGTTTTAGTTATATCATTAATTTACAAACTTCTTTTCTTAATATGTCCCTTCTGCTAGAATATAAATTCATTGAACATTCTCAATTGAAAACAAACATTGGATAAATGACAATTTTCAAAATACATTACTGAGATCAAGATTTTTCTTCTCTATCGAATAGTATATTTTATTTTTGCCTTGGATTAGTATTAATCGTCAAATAAATATTTTTGAGAACTGTAAAGTTTGTTTGAGATGAGTCTAAAATAGCGCACATTATCAATTCGTTAGATAAAATAGGTTTTTTTTTGTTTCCTATAAATATTGATATATTTTTTTTTTTTGTTTGGATTCACTTACTTGTAAATAATTCAAGATACGAATGATTGAGTTCGAGTTAAAAGCTACAGAATAGCTTATGTAATTCTGTTAGTTCAGAGAAAATTTCAAAGATGAAGATAGTTTTTTCCATTTGAATTTGATTATTTATTTATTTTTATTTTACAGACGCAAAAAAGAAAGCAAATGGCAAAGGTCCTCTCAAATTGAATAAATAAACAATGAATTAATAATATTCATTTCATTTATTTTTGTTTATTGTATTTGTTCGTTATTTCTTTATGTAATAAATAATTAATTATAAATTGTTAAATATTTGTTCTTCTGTACATATATTATAGATATTCGATTTACTGTATGTTAAACCCTATTGCAAAAGTCTTGGTACAAAATGTTTGTTCATTTTTTCGCCACTTAAAATTAGCTCGAGAAGATGAAAAGTAATCAGTTAGAATCAGAATATGGTGCTCTCTCTGTCTTTAAATGTGTATTTAGAAATTTTTTTCTAACTTGAAGTTGAATCATTGAGAGCAAATCTTTGATGGAAATCAAAAATGATGTTTGTACAGAATATTTTATCTAGTCCATTTTTGTATTTTGATTAAAACTATCTCAATTCAAATTTGAAGAAAGTGTTTTTATATATTAGTTTGCAGAACAAAGTTTGCTCTACAAAATGTCCAATTTGCTTTGCTTTCAATATATTATTGAAAATCATAAGAATCTGTTACATTTTAAATACCGAAAATCGCAAAAAACAATTATTTTTACAACTCACGATTTTGTAGAAGATTAAATTCTCTACAACAATAGGAAATAAAATCTGTTCCCAAATATCCTTTAGAGAAATTACGAATAAGAGGAGGAGAAAGTCTATTTATGTGGTGCAAACGACATTTTTTTATCGATTTAGATATTTGCTTACAACTAACTAGCAATGAATCAGAGGAATATTCTAAAGACATAATTAGAAAGAGAAACAAATTTTGGTTCCAATCGACAACTTTCGACCCCCTTTAATTATATTTAAATGCTCGAAAAATCACCAAATATATTTGCCAAGACTTTTGAAACTAGTATTTTGTACAAACGTCAATTTTGGTCTCCATTAAATATTTGCTCTCAATGATTAAACTTCAAGTTAGAAAAAAACTTCTGAATACACATTTAGAGAGAGAGTACCAAATTCTGATTCTAACTGACTGCTTTTCATCTTCTCAAGCTACTTCTTCTAAGTGGTGAAAAAATGAACAAACATTTTGTGCCAAGACTTTTGCAACAGGGGCTATAATTCATTAATGTTACGGATGCTCTCCACTTTCCGGGATTTCTGGAAAGAAGCTCATCAGAAAAATCTGAAACCTTTATGGCAAATAGATCTTAAAGAGTAGAGCAAAAGTTCCTGAACGTTGCCGTCTATACAATATTGGACTCACAGTTGGTCAAAATCACCCCTATTCTTCGAGATACTACGTTCGATCGAGTTCGAAATTTCTTTACATGTGCTGAACACTATTTAGGGTGGACATTATTTGTTTTTGATTTCCTTATATTGTTTGTCCTTCCAACAGAAAAGCCAAAAATATCGGATGTACCCTAAAAAACGCTTGGTTTTTTTGCTAGAACAAAGCTGCCAAATAATGATTAGTATATGTGAAAAAATTTTCAGCTCGATGCCTCTTAGCATGTCGAAGAAACGCGAGTGAAACAATAATTTTTTTCTATGATATTCATCTCGACATTGAACTCTAATATAATCATATACTAAAAAGAATATAGCTACAAACAGATTAAACGCAAAGAGAAAATATTTTGAAAAAAAGAGTCAAGGTTTTTTTTAGATAGGGGAGTTGTGATCGATGCATTTTTGTATTGGTTTTTGTTTTTAAAAGTAAATTTTCATCGTTTTAGATTTTAAGACATTAGTTACAAATGTTTTTCATGAATAATTTTTTTGAATAGAAAGAAAATTGTTTATTTTTGTATATATATATATATATTCGTTCTTCTATTATTGTTAATTAACAATGTCATCATTTTTAACTAATAATGATTATTTAATTATTTCTCGTTTTCTATCATTTTTTTCTACTTCATATGGTTCAAATGCTCGTTTAAAATTAATTCAAACACTTGATAATTCAATGAGTATTTGTACATCAATAAGTAGTCGTATTCAACATCAATTAAAATGTCAACATCTTATATCACGTCTTTTATCAACTGCTATAGAAAAACAAATATCTATATATCATGATGGTGGTCTTTATTTTAGTATTATATTTTGTAATTTCTTAATACAATTTCGTGATATAACAATAAATTCTAATAAACAAAATTTATTATTTGAATCTTGTTTAAATTTAATTGATGAAATAAATATATCACAAGAAACAATAACATTTAATTCAATTCATCAATTATTAGCTATTGTTCGTGCTGTTATATGTAAACCATTAGCTTATAATAATTCAGATTTATTACGAGAAAAATTATGTCTTTTATCAGTTAAATCATTTCTTGAAAATTTAACAATGATAAATTCATCAATAGAACAACTTATTTTAACAATTAAAGGTTTATCTATTGATGAATCAACTTTATTCAATGGTTTACTTTATCAAATATCAATATCAAAATCATATTTATGTTCGAAAAAAATTCGTTCATGTCTTTATTTTACTATATCTCTAGCTGGAGATTATACAATTGAAGATTTAGATCATATTGAAACAGACAAACAAATGTTTGAATGGATTCAAAATATAGCTGAACATATTATAAAACAAATTATTGAATATACTTGTTTACATAATGGTGGATTAATTCTTTGTCAAAAAGTTTGATTAATTTTCATATTAAAATGTAAAA